ATTTCAGAGAGGAAAGGAGAGGGAGAGAGTATAGAAACATCAATGATGAGAGAGAATTATTGATCGGCTGCCTCCTGCACACTCCACACTGGGGTTCCAGTCCACAACCTAGGCATGTGCCCTGACTGGGAATAAAACCATGACCTCTTGGTTCATAGGTTGATGCTCAACCACGGAGCCATGCTGGCCAGACCCCCCTCTCTAATTTTAATCAATCAATATTGAATTACCTGCAGTTTCTCAAGTCAGGCTATGTTTGCTATTACGCCTTTGTACTTGCTATTTCCTTAATGCTGTTATGTGTTGATTATGAAGCAGTGAATATATTATAAAAAATGTAATGTAGGGGATGTTCTATTTATACATAACTAATCACTTATTTATAGAACTAAAGATTCATAAGCCATTTTACTTAATTTATAAAATGTAATTACAGTTTAAAGATAAAATCAAACATTTATTACATAAATTAGCTTTTTATTATAGTTTTAAAAATATTTTAGTCTGCCCATATTAAGAGATTTATTTATATTAAGTAAACATATGGGGTTGATGTAAAAGAAATTTATTCTCTTGAAAAAATCTTTGCATATAGTTTTGAGATGATAAGCATAAAATTAAATCTATCATAATACCAAAATGTAACTCTAGGAAGATATTTTTGGTACCTTAAAAAGCATCCGTTAGAGATGTAATGTACAATTTATGATATAGCTAATACTGCTGTATAATATATAAGGGAGTAAATCTTAAGCATTCTCATCACACAGAAACTTTTTTTTCTTTTATTCTCTTTCTCTCCTTTTCATTTTATCTATTTGAGAAGATGGACATTAAGGGAATCTATTGTAGTAATCATTTCACAATAATATATGTAAATCATCATCATGCTGTATGCTTTAAACTTATACGGGGATGCATGTCAATTATTTCTCAATAAAACTGGGAAAAATAAGTGACTTAATCTAATATTGGAATAACTGACATATTAGGTATAATTTTAGAGTTTGAATGTATTTTTGAAGAATAGTAAAATAGTTAGCCATCTAAACATTTTTAGATAAGCTATGCTAGTCTCAAATATCACACTATTGCTTAGTAAATCAGCTGATCCAAGTTTAAGATTTTCACTAGAAATAGTTTTATATTAAAAATTTAATGTTTTTGAAACTTTTTTTTAAAATATATTTTATTGATTTTTTACAGGGAGGAAGGGAGAGAGATAGAAAGTTAGAAACATCGATGAGAGAGAAACATCAATCAGCTGCCTGCCACACATCTCCACTGGGGATATGCCCGCAACCAAGGTACATGCCCTTGACCGGAATTGAACCTGGGACCTTTCAGTCCGCAGGCCGACGCTCTATCCACTGAGCCAAACCGGTTTTGGCTGTTTTTGAAACTTAACAAAAGATAAACAATCCAATAAAAAAATGGGCAACGAACCTAAATAGGCACTTTTCGGAAGAGGACATACAGAAGACCGAACGACATAGCAAACATGTTCAAAGTCACTAATTATACGAAAGTTGCAAATCAAAACGACAATGCTGTATCATCTCACAACTGTCAGAATGGCTATCATCAAAAAATCAACAAACAACAAGTGTTGGAGAGGATGTGGAGAAAAAGGAACCCTTCTGCACTGCTGGTGTGAATGCAGACTGGTGCAGCCACTGTAGAGAACAGTATGGAGCTTCCTCAAAAAACTAAAAATGGAACTCCCATTAGATAAGCCAGTCGAAAGATAAATACCACATGATCTCACTCATTTGTGGAATATAGAGAACAACATAGACTGATGAACAGGGACAGACCCACAGACAGAGAAACAGTGATCAGACTATCAATCCCCAGAGGGAAAGTAGGGGAGGGTGGGGGTAAGGGGAAGAGATCAACCAAAGGACTTATATTCATGCATATAAGCCAAACAATGGACACAGACAACAGGAGGATAAGTGCATGAGTGGGGGGGGCGTTGGGGGTTAATGGGGGGATAAGGACACATTTGTAATACCTTAACCAATAAAGAAAGTTAAAAAAAAATAATGTTTTACAAATATGGATATGTGTTTGGTCAATTAATTTTCCTTTGGTCAGTTTATTAAATATATTTTCCTAAATAAATGTATTTACCATATTATAAACAAAATTAAAATCTCAGCCATATTTAGTTTTGCTAACTATTCTTCAGATTCAATGAAGTGTAACTATATAGAAACTGCCAGCCTTTTGGTGATACTATAACAGTAGAAGTTTGGGGGCATATTTTACTCAATGTTTTCTAATGTTTGCTGCTATGAATTTTTCATAGATGTTGGGAAAAATTTAAAACTCTAGCTAAGAGTTTACTCAGTTTCTCATCTCAAGCATGGAAACATGTAGCCTACTCATTGCAGAACTGTCACGATGGGGCCTAGTGAGTTGCAGACAATAGATTTAATAGATAAAAATTTTAAAAATATCTAATATTTTAAATGCTAAAAATATCTTCTAAAGTACATGAAATAAAATTATAAAAATATCAAATCTGGAAGAACTGTATACAGTTACTGGAGGCCCAGTGCATAAAATTCGAGCACTGAGGGAGGCAGTGTCTCTCAGCCCAGCCTGTACCCGCTCACAGTCCAAGACCTCTTGGGGGATGTCTGCCTGTTGGTTTCAGCCCGCTCCCCTTGGGGATCTGGCCTAAGCCGGTAGTCGGACATCCCTCTCACATCTGGGAACCCTCACTCCTTACCGCCAGCCTTTACGCTGCTCCTTACCGCTCAGCTCACTGCTCCTTCCTTAGCACTGCCACAGAGGCTGGAGAGGCTCATACCACCGCCACTGCACTCGCCAGCCGTGAGCCTGGCATCTGGCTGAGTGGGGCTCCCCCTGTGGGAGCGCACTGACCACCAGGGGGCAGCAGCTCCTGCATTGAGCATCTGCTCCCTGTAGGTCAGTGCGCATCATAGTGATTGGTTATTCTGGTTGTTCCGCAATAACAGTTGCTTAGGCTTTTATTATATAGACTAGAGGCCCAATGCACAAAATTTGTGCAAGAGAAGGCCTTCTTTCCTCTGGCTTCCCTCTGGCACCTGGGACCCAGGCTTTCCTCTGGCCACTGGCAGGCACCCAGGACCTATGCTTCCATCGCAGCCCTGGCTTCATCCAGATGGTCATCCCAAAGGACGTCCTGAAGGGCGTCTGATCTAATTAGCATATTACACGTTTATTATTACAGGCTGCAAACAAAGGAAGAGAAGTGATGATAATCCAATTTCTCCTTATTTCTACAGTAAAGTGTACTTTATCTACAGTTTCATTATTCAGGGTGCTGTATTCTGCAATATACATTCCGGTATGTAAAAATATTTTTAAATATATTTAAACTGTTTTCCTTGAGTTCAAATCCCAACTCTGTCATTCATTACATATAAACTGGGGATAATATTAACTAATTCATAATGGTCATTCTAAATATACAGATATGGGTGAATTGTCAAGCACATTGGTACAAAATAAGAAGTCTGCAAATTGGATCATTATTATTTTTGTTATTGTTATTAAACCCAATAGTATTACAATAACCTGAAAAGAAAAATCAATGTGATATTCATCTACTAATTCTTCAAAGCAATATGGAATTATTTCTTATAATTATTTTTGCTGATTCTCAGGTCAAATTGTTCTATTTAAGGGAGGTGTTAGATTTTATGTCATGATGTTAAAAATAAGTTAAGAAAAAAAAATAAGCCACTAGATTTGGTGGCTTCTAATTGAAACTTTGGGTCAGAAAGTGATCTAATATATACTATTCAAATATCTCTGTTGATGAAATCTGAAATTGAGCTATTTTAATAAAACTGTTTCCCATGGCTATAATAATAATTTTTTTTAGAACTAAAAGATGAAGAAAATACATGTGACAAAATTGAATAATTTTCTTTCTCTATTGAGGGTAAATTTAATCTGGCCAAGAGGTGGTTGAATAAAAATTTTAATGACTATATGTCCTAGTGATAGTTATCATATGCATTTTCTCACAGGAGTTGTTAGCAAAATCTGCATAAAGGATATCGTTCTCATCTGCTGCGATAATGTAAAAAGTTGAATTAACCCCCCACAGGGCCTACCACTGCGCCTTGTATGTGGTCAGTACTGAATAAGTATTGCTGAATAGAAGAGAGACCTAAAAGCTAAAAGAGAAATTGCTTTTCAATATTTCTCACTACAAAATGGTTAATATAAAAATGATAATTTGTTCATGAGCTATACAATGAATAAAAAAGATAGTGTTATATCTGTACCAGATTTTATATATTGAGAAAGTTCTGTCTTTTAAATTATTCACTTCAATTAGTGCTACTGGCTTTTATTAATCAAAACAGTTTTTTAACATCTATTTTGAAATGGTTTCTATGGCATTATGAGTTTATGGCTATACATTATTGAGAAGCAGATCTATTTATGATAATACAAAGCAGTAAAAATTGATGAGTGGACATTATCCATTAAAGGAAAAAAAATCATAGAGAAAGATATTGAGGGGAGGAGATCTGAAAACAAGTTATACCAGAGGAAACTGTACAAACCAGGGGTGGGCAAACTTTTTGACTGGAGGGCCACAATGGGTTCTTAAACTGGACCAGAGGTCCGGAACAAAAGCATGGATGGAGTATTTGTGTGAACTAATATAAATTCAAAGTAAACATCATTACATAAAAGGGTACGGTCTTTTTTTCAATAGTTTTATTCATTTCAAAGGGGCCGGATCCGGCCCGTGGGCCGTAGTTTGCCCACGGCTGGAAACTTTCCATATCAGACAGATATATAAACTGTAAGATCTGGGAGATAAAGGAAGGCCTAGATATGGAAGGTTTTATATTATTTTTAAAAAATATATATTTTATTGATTTTTTACAGAGAGGAAGGGAGAGGGATAGAGAGTTAGAAACATCGGTGAGAGAGAAACATCTATCAGCTGCCTCCTGCACACCTCCTACTGGGGATGTGCCCACAACCAAGGTACATCCCCTTGACCAGAATCAAACCTGGGACCTTTCAGTCCGCAGGCCGATGCTCTATCTACTGACCCAAACCAGTCAGGGAGGTTTTATATTCTTTGACAATGGAAGTGAGATGAGCCAAGAGCACAAAGAAGGAGTTAAACTAAGTTAAGATGTAAGTAAAGGCTGTATTATTTAGACACCATCCTTAAATGCCCTGCATTAGAATGGCATTACAATACAATAAACCATATTAAAATGAAGTAAATAGACATTCTGACAGGTGTGAGGTGGTACCTCATTGTCGTTTTGATTTGCATCTCTCAGATGATTAGTGACTTTGAGCATGTTTAATATGTCTCCTGGTCTTCTGTATGTCCTCTTTCAAAACGTGTTTATTTAGGTCCTTTGCCCATTTTTTCATTGGATTGTTTATCTTCCTTTTGTTAAGTTATATGAGTTCCCTATAAATTTTGGTGATTAAACCCTTATTGGAGATAACATTGGCAAATATGTTCTCCCATGAAGTGGGCTTTCATGTTGTTTTGCTGATGGTTTCTTTCGCTGTGCATAAGTTTTTTATTTTGATGTAGTTCCATTTGTTTATTTTCTCCTTATTTTCCATTGTTATATCATTAATAAATCAACAAAAGACAAGTGCTGGAGAGGATGCAGAGAAAAAGGAACCCTCTTGCACTGCTGGTGGGAATGCAGACTAGTGCAGCCACAAAAGTTAACTAATTAAAAGTATTGTTTTGATGTTATAGTAAAGGCACCTATATTGTGAAACAGAAATGCAAACTTGGAAAACTATTTTAAAATTGCCCATTAGGTTTCAGAGATAATCCAAGAGCTTCTTTCTCCTTGCCTTTTCAGCATTGTGCTAAATAAGTTGAGAGTCCCATTCTTAAGATTTGACTCACCCACTTTTGTTCAATCCATTATTTATTCACATTCACACATTTTAATTTAAAATGTCCTTCCTTCCCACCCAGCTAAATGCAACATTATTCTCTAAACCCAATTCTGATCATCCTCACTTAAAATATTTTATTACTAGCCATGTTTTATGTTACCTTGAACTTTTCAGCATTGATGAATAACATATAATCACACATCTGTTCATATGCTTACTAATATGTAAAGTGCTAATAACATGTATTCTGTTAAGAGAAAAGGGGACTGTATGCTTAAGGCAAAATTAATTTCCCACTGAAGAAACCAAAAGAGGAGGACTTGAAGACAACAGTAAACGAAAGTATCAGTAGTTTATCTACGAGGTAAGAAAAGAGACAATGTTCATAAAACAATGTTAAGGATTATGGCAGTCCCTGTAATATCCATGTCTTGACTTCACTGTCTTTTTTGTTGTTAATTCTCATCTTTGGATATTTTTCCACTGATTTTTAGAGAGAGTGAAAAGGAGGGAGGGAGGGAGAGAGAGAGAGAAAGAGAGAGAGAGAGAGCGAGAGATAGAGAGAGAGAGAGAGCGAGAGATAGAGAGAGAGAGAGAGCGAGAGATAGAGAGAGAGAGAGAGCGAGAGATAGAGAGAGAGAAATCCATGTGAGAGAGACACATCCATTGGTTGCCTCCCACATGTGGGTCCTAGACCAGAATCAAACCAGCTACCCTTCAGTTTGGGGGCTGAGGCTCTATCCATGGAGCCAAGCCAGCTATAGTCTGACTCCATTGAGCAACCAGGGCTCCCTCCCCACACATACGCCTCAGGAAACTATGGGCAATTGGAATATGGGGTGGGAAGGAACGATGTGCCATGAAAACATCTCCTAGGGTGTAGTGAGGCTCTGAACACCAAGATGACAGCTGAGCTGCCTGCTACATTCATTATCCATGAGGCAGATCGAGGACTGTGGTCTGCTGTATGGCCTCTGAGAGGTTCCAGTTCTTCATGGTATGCTTTTTTGGGGGACCATATGCAGGGATTTTGTGTTTCTAACCATGTGCAAAAATTTAAATCATGGGCAGTATGTGAATATGCTATCTAAATGATATGTTGCACTTAAAAATATATTCTTGCCTTAGTGTAAACCTTACTTTTCTTGAATATAAAATTGCCACAATGTATAAATAACTCGGTAAATGTAATATTCACTGTGATAAAAATTATGCTCAATTTAACACTTTGAAAGTTGTATTAACAATAATCAAAATCTTGTTATCTGGGAATGGGATTGGTAGTTGTCCCAATGAAGGAGAATACTCTAAAAGTAAGTTTAAAAAAATGCACCACAATTTTTTGGTTAGAAATAAAAGAAACATATTTCCAAAAGAATGGTACAATTCTTGGAGGAAGCGGGGAGTTTGTTTACACCTCATCTTTATATTGGAGATATGAAATGAGCTCTTCTGGAGTTTTCCTAGTCACTGCAGGGAGGTCTAAGTAATATTGTTGGAAATATGTTAAGTTAAAGTAACACGATACTATTTTTAGCAGGCACTTTTGTATTTTTTTTTTTTATCTATCATTGAAATTCCTATAATAAGATGTACATCCGTCCTCATAGCCTATAAAGAAGCATCTTCCACGTGAATTGATGGGCTTCTGTCCAGTAGAGGGCGATGCTGTATATTTATCCAATCCCCCTTGAACATTAAAACTTGAAAATAAAAGTTAACAGGACAAATGCTTTGTGAACCATTATAACAAAGAAATTGGTGCACAGAGCAAGAGGAGAAATATTAATGATATTAACATTTTATAATATTAATACTTTTTAAAATTTTTATTCTTTTAAGTAAAAAGTTTAATATCGGTGGGAATTTATAAAAATCATTCCAGCCACTTTTCTTTCTCCAAAAAAATTAGTCTGTGATAATTAAATCACATTTTAAAAAATAGAAAAAAAGTTTTTAAAGATAATTTTTTAAATAAATCGCTTGCAAAACTTGGACATTAATTTTGAAACCACTTTTAAAAACTTAAGTTAAATGTCCCTCCCTACTGAAGGGCTTTTTCTGACAATTCTATCTTCCATGGGTGAGTTGGATTCTTCCGCTTCTGTGCTCCCACGATGCTGTACATGTGGCTCCTTAACTCAGATAGTTATGTCCATGCTCCAGGCTCTACTGAATGATGGTCTTTATGAGCGAAGAGTTCTCTTCTCACTATTCTTCCAATTCGTGGTACAGGGTGTTTGCTCAATAAATATGCATTGGACAAATGACCAAATGGCTAACTAATGGAAATGGAAATCATTTCAAAAGAAGAGAAAGTATTTCCCTAGAATTATAAATTAGCAATAAAAATATAAATTCTAAGGAGCCATGACTAAGAGAACAATTGAATTTCCAAAGAATTACACTAAGAATAGGAAGATGTAAAGAATTCATTATCTATACATATTTTGATATCATTACTTATTTCATCTTTATTTATGATTTTAAAAAGTTTTTCCTTTCCTCTTTGTTGTTGTTTTTTTTTTAAAAAAAAAGCTTAAATGCCAAAGAAAAAAAATACTTGAGAAAATAAAAAATATCCCTCCAGTAAAAACTTCATTTAAAGTAGACTAATACTTAGCATTATTAATTACCATATGCAAAATAACTTTTCAGATTTTACTTGTACAATACACACATATATGATATACATATGTAAAAAGATATAGAGCTATGTATCTAGCTCTATCTATCTACCTATCTAATACTTAGACATATTTCCAAAGGACAATGCTCTTAAAAACTGTGAATGCATAAAATATAAGTATGTGTAAAATGATTCTTACAATTGTTTTTAAAGTAATTGTTTGCATATCTTTTTCCCCTCTCGCATATTATGTATCTATGTTTTTAAAAGTTATTTTTTGTTTGATTAAAAACTCTTGGGTAGGTGAAGCAGTAATCACTATGTTCTTTTATATTCTTTCAGCTAGATTAGATATTAACTTTCATTTCCAAAATGACATAGAGTCATTCTGAATATTCTGATGAAAAGATATTTAATAATCCCAACCAGTTTTTCCCAGGAAATATGCATCTCAGAGGTTTGTTTTGTTTTTGTTTTTTTTATCATTCTGCATGACTTTGCATTGTTAAAGGACAGTTTTAAAAATTCTAAATGAAAATGGCTATATTAAAAAACAAGTTGTTTTACCTGCTAATGTTATTGGGAATGGGAGACTAAGCTAGCAGAAAATAAGAAATGTTATCACTCAAGAGCAATTTTTTTTATAGCCAAGCATCATGCCAGTGATACAGTGAAACCACTCAGTGTGGTCACAGTAACAATCAGTTTGGATTGACGTAGCTACAGAGCATCTGGAGAGATGTGAGGCGTTGGCCACAATTCCCTTCTAATGGCTCTGCCACAGCATGGCCAATTCATTTCAGGTCTGCAGTCAGGACCCACACTAAAGTGATACTTTCAAGTGAATGTGAAATGTATCCCCAAATAAATATATTTTTAAATGCAATCAAATCACCAAGAAACAGATACATAGGTTATTAGTATTTTTTAAAGAGTGCTATTTTCTTTATTTTGGGTTTGATTATAATAGCTTTAATGTAGTAGAGCAGCCTCTATCTGGAAAGCAGACTTATTACGAGTAGCCAGAACAGACCCATGATCCTGACGGAACTGAAATCCTGCTCATTTATAGAGAGGGATGCCATTACAAGACATGCGAGGTTACAGGAGAGAGGGAAGCAAAGGAGTAAGTGCAGGGAACAGGAGGACAGAAAAGATGGTCACCAAGGACTGCCTATCCCAGGCTCTTTTGGGAACAGTTAGGGAGACCACTAGGCTTCACAGCTCTTATAGAAGAATGAAAGGTGTTCTGTGTTTAACAAGTTTCTATAACATAGAACAAAATTCTTTATTATTCATTTGCCCAGGACTTTGACCGGCATCACTAAAATCTTTTGTAGCTCTAAAATTTCATGAAACAGGGGGACCTTCAGATGCAAAAGGGGAAAAATCAGATTAATTACATTTGGGGGCCAACCAAATTTAGTATTTTTTAAAATTTATATTTATTGTTGAAAGGATCACAGACATGCTCTGTTTTGCCCCACTGACCCTCTCCATCTGCTCCAGCCCCATCCCAGGCCTTCACACACTATTGTCTGTGTCCATGGGTTATGCATATATGCATGTAAGTTCTTTACCAGAAAACAGTCTGAAGATCTTCAAAGCTAATCATTTAAAAATCACTATGGTAGCCCCAGCCTATCAGCAGTTTTGCTTTCTGTGGATGATTACCCATGGTCAACTGTGGTCCAAAAATATTAAGTGGAAAATGCCAGAAATAAACAATTCATGAGTCTTAAATTACATGTCTTTTTGAGTAGCATGATAAAATTTCACACCGGCTCTCTGTGTCCTGCCTAGATGTGAGTTATTCCTCTGTCCAGCATCTGCTCTCTGTAAAGCTCCCTGCCTGTTAGTCACTTAGTAGCCATTTCTGTTATCGGACTGACTGTCAGGGTATCATGGTGCTTGTGTTCAGGTAACCTTCATTTTATTTAATAATGCCACATTCATATGACTTTTATTACAATGCATTGTTATAACTCTATTTACTAGTTATTGCTGTTAATCTCTTATTTGCCTAATTTTTTAAATTAAAGTTTATCATAGGTATATGTATGTATGGATGGTG